ATTACCTTTACAGATGTAATTAAGGTAAACTAGGATAGTATCCGCGCTGTGCGCAGAATGAAATGAATACAAAAATGAAATTTCAAATTTGCTTGTGTATATTCAAATTTACAATTACTTTTTATTTTGTATAGTAATGTGTTTCACCTATGAATAAAAAAATACACACACCAAACCGAATCAAAAGTCACCAATTCGAACTAGAACAAAAATATATAATAATTCGAATGGGTACCAAAATTTATATAATAAATTATCTGAAATGAACACTACTTATATAAACCCGAACCGAAGTGGTTAGAAATTACTAAAAATATTATTTTGTTTCTATACTTTTATATTATCTGAAAAAATATCTGAAAATTATCTGAAAATTACTAAAAATTATCTGAAAAAATATTATTTTGTTTCTATATTTTTATATTTTTGAATTAATTAGCAATATTTTATCTCATTATATTTAATCTACTAATTCTTGACATACTTTTAGTTTTCGTATGTTTTATGTATTTACCAAATTTTAAATTGCTAGCACATATTTTTCCAAATATAATCGAATAATGTTGTTTTCAATCTAAAATGTATATAGTTCATCAACCATTGTTAAAATATATTTTGAAAAATTCTTTTATATGTTCATAGATTTCAAAAATAAATATGAAAACTTACTTTTTATGGTTTCAAATTATATATAGAGTATTTGTATATAGATTTAATTGTGAGATTTAATATTAAATTTCAAAATAATTTTTTTGGCAAGTTTATGAATATTGAAATTTGTTTGGAAATTGGATTTAGAGTAATGGTATGTAATATTTTGAAATAAATTTGTTTGGTAATGAGTATAAAAGAATTAGTCAAATAAAAAAAAATCTTGATTAGAGTGTTTGTATTGTAGGATAGTAGAAGAAAATTATTACTGAATTTATTATTAAAAAAACTTAGAAAATTTGTGAAAAAGACACATCAGCAAAAGAGGCAAAAAATATTTCTCCTTTAATATATGAAAGATAAATAAATATATGAAAATTACCTTTACATATGTAATTAAGGTAAACTAGGATAGTATCCGTGCTGTGCGCGGAATGAAATGAATATACAAAAATAAAATTTCAAATTTGCTTGTGTATATTCAAATTTACAATTACTTTTTATTTTGTATAGTAATGTGTTTCACCTATGAATAAAAAAATAAACAAACCAAACCGAATCAGAAGTCACCAATTCGAACCAGAACAAAAATATATAATAATTCGAATGGGTACCAAAATTTATATAAGAAATTATCCTAAATGAATACTAATTATATAAACACGAACCGAAGTGGTTAGAAATTACTAAAAAATATTATTTTGTTTCTATACTTTTATATTTTTGAATTAATTAGCAATACTTTATCTCATTATATTTAATCTACTAATTCTTGACATAATTTTAGTTTTCGTATGTTTTATGTATTTACCAAATTTTTAATTGCTAACACATATTTTTCCAAATAAAATTGAGTAATGTTGTTTTCAATCTAAAATATATTTAGTTCATCAACCATTATTAAAATATATTTTGAAAAATTCTTTTATATGTTCATAGATTTCAAAAATAAATATGAAAACTTACTTATTATGCTTTTGTCAAATTATATATAGAGT